AACTGGATACTCAAAAGGAAATTAAAAGCTAAGGGTGGGTGCGGGAACCGAATCGATCCAAAATTTTCGGGTATCTAGTAAATGAAATCGTCGAGTTCAAATATAATTATGAAACCATTCGGGTTCGATTCGATTCGACTCGATTCAGTTCTGTACTATAATTAAATTTTTTAACATTTATAACAACATTATATAAATACAACTAATAATACATTCAATAATTTTGGAATGCCATAAACTAGTAGACTAACTTGTTCAAATGATTGCAACGGTCAAAGTTTCGATCGGCGGAGGTCACAACTTCGATCGGAAGTCACAGCATCGACCGACGATTGTATAAGTTTTGAAATGTTAGCGACACTACGAGAGTGAGTGCAAGAGTCGAGACAACGTTATGTACTTTAGTGCAGGTGTTTATAATTATTTAGTGGATTGGATCTTGTTGGGCTAAAAAATGAAACAATAAAATAGGTAATGGGGCCAAAAATTAAAAAATTAGAAATGAAATGAATTATTGGACCAAAAATTTGGATTTAGAATTTGTTAATTTGTTTAGAAAAAATTAAAATTAAAATATTTGATTTACTCAATATAAAAAAAAATTAGAAAGATTCGTTTCTTCGGTCCTTGGTCTAGAACCGAGAACTGAACCGTACCCGTCGGTTCTCAATTCAGATACCCGTTTGGGTATTTAATTTGACAAGAACCGTCGAGTTCGGTTCGATTCGGGAGATTTGCTCAGTCCTATTATAAGCTGCTAAAAATGTTTCCCAAGCAGTGACTAAGCTTTTTATTACTACTGTCATAAATAGAGATTAAGTGCTTATTTGCTGAAATTATAATCTGATAAAAATAAGTGTTGAATAGTAATTAAAATTAATGTTCTACCTTGCTACACGAACATGGGAAGTGACTGAGTTTTTTTTTTTTTTTTTTTTTTACAGGGAAACTCGTGACATTATTTTACTGAACAGTTAAAAAAATTTTAAAAAATCCATATGATAGTACTTGTCAAAGCCCCTATCAACACATCCGTGCAAGCAAGCATTATTCATTAAGGCTTTGTTTGTCTACCATTCTACCACATTTTACTACATTATTTTTTCTACAGCACTCATTTTCAATCACACATTTTTCATTAAAATAATATTACAAGTAAATCAAAAAAATTTCCTTTTCTTTTTTAACTACATATTTCAACACCAATTACTATTTTATAATACATTATTCAGAAATAATGAGACACAAACACTCCATATGATTTGTCTTTAACCTCAAACACAAACCAGTAATAATGTTTTAAGAAATGTGTAGTTCAAGATTTGATTTTACCTTTTGTGGTAGAGTTTTTGAAGAAAGTTTTTTTTTTTTTTTTTTTTTTTTTTGAAAATTAAATTTTAGAGGAACTTTTTATTTTAGAAGTATTTTTAGAGAAAATCACATTGGATAAGTTTTTTTTTCCTAAAAGTTCTTCTAGGAGGAGCACTTTAAAATTAGCCAAATAGGTCAAAAATTGCTTTTGGATCTAAAAAACTCTTTTTGACTTTTAATAAAAAATAATAATAATAAAGGCAAATGGGCCTAACACAACTAAAATGGAAATAATGCCCGACAGTTGAAGCTTTTGTATTATTATTATTTTTTTTCATTTCGAAAATTAATTTTTAGAAGCACTTTTTATTTCAGAAGTATTTTTAGAAAATCTCGTTGGAGACTTTTTTATTTTTTTTCTTTCTTTCTAAAAGCTCTTCTAAAAAGAGCACTTTAACTAAATTAGCCAAATGGATTAAAAACTAATTTTAGATTTCAAAAACTCTTTTTGACTTTTCAAAATATACGAGAGACTGGTCTAATACAATTAAGTCCTTGTTTGAGCTCCATTTTTGTCAAGAAAATACATTTCTGAATAGTGTAATGATGTGAATGTGTGGTTAAAAAAATAAAGAAGATTTTTAGATTTACGTGTAATATTATTTTATTGAAAAATATGTGATTGAAATGATGTCAAAATACTGTTTAAGAACGTATTTTTTGGCAAAGAATGTGACTCAAACAACGGCTAAAATAGAAATACTGCCGGACAGTTTGACTCTTGAAGCTTTTGCATGTGAACAACATTTTGATTAACCCTCAAATTCTTCAAGATAAGAAAAGATTTTTCCAACCTTTCATAAGTTTGTCGGTGCGAAAATAAGTGTTTTGTCCAATTCTTCCATTTGAAGAACAAATAATTTCCAGTATCCTATGTAGAAAGACAGACTCTTCGAATCATTTTCAATCATGTAACCAGCGACAAAAAGATACACAAATGTAATTTTATTTATTTATTTATTTATTTTTTACGAGAGAACTCATAGCCATTACTCTTTGGGTGCTCACTGAGTAAGTCTTCGGACTGACGCAATAGCCTGAATGTTTTTAGTCATATGTAATTATGCCATGTTTGGTATTGATTTAAATCAAATTTTATTTTGAGTCAAAATCAAATAATTAATTTTAACCACATATTTGATAAATCCAACAACTTTTCAACCATACGTTTCAAAAACTTATATCAAAATCTACTAAAAATCTAATTTTAATCCCAACCAAACAGTGACTATTCTTCAAAAACTAATAAGATTCAATTCCCCTATGTTGCTTTGCACGTCACTTATCGACTTAGATTGCTTGTTCTCAATGGGATATAAATTTACCGAAAGTTGCTTCTAACCCAATGTTCGTATTATTTTAGAAACTTTTGCCTTCGTTTATCATTATTATTTTGTGACAAATGTTAAATCCTCAAAAGTAATGGTGATAATTATACCAAATGAGGAACGTATACACAATCAGATAACAGATTTGTAATACGCATTATTAGATATCACTAAAAATGTATAAAAATTATCATTCAAATCGAAGCTCATTCTTGAAAATTTTAATTATTTATATCTTGGTTGTCACCAATTCTTCCCCCCATCTTTAATTTGCTTAGTAGTATCAATCCGTTTTGCTTTTTCTTAGCTGGAATTTGCTGATAATGCTTTCAAGCTCGAAGATTCAGGATCTGATCGATGGTAATTATGAGAATTGATTTGATCGTTGATAGAAAAGTGGGTCCCACCTATGAGTGAAGAAGTAACGTTAGAATAGTGAAATAACGGTAAAAAAAAAATTGATTTTTTGGTTAACAAACGGAGCTCAATATTTCATATTTTAGCTCTTCTTTTTTTTTTTTTTGGTAGCCTGACAGTAATAACTTGTTGGTGGGCAATAAATTGGGGGTCCATTTTTTCAGTAGAGTAGAAAAAATGAATGTGATGTCAACTTCTTGTGTTTGCGTGAATGCTTTGACAATTACGATAAAGGACCTAAGGCTAATGATTTCTAATGAATTATTACTTTTTTTTCACTTAAACTTTTTTATTTGATTTAATCCCATAACGAATATATAAAATTTATTCACGATAAATCTCAAGTTCATTGCATGAATCGTTTTTCACTTCAATCAATAGTTACATTTGAGTGATAAATCAAAACTATTGCCGATTAATTGTCTACACTTGGCAATCTATCAAGTGACAAGGATCTTCTTCTCTACAATCCCCATGGTCTTGGACCGGCATAAAAAGAGGTTATTTTAGTCCTTCGCACAAGAGATTTCATTGTTCCATTTGAAGAACTCCACCGAACAAGCTAGTTGATCATGAAACTTGTCTTTGCTATGCTGAAATCATCTCCGAGCCATATGCTAATGTAACTTTTAGGATTGCTTGTGGAGATTTATTACTTAATGTTATGTACATATTGTTTGTTTAGGAAAAACTGGTTATGGATGACTTTTGAAGAAAATGAATGAAAAAATGAAAGAAAAGTATGTGAATGTGCATAAATTGGAAAATTGAGTCCAAAGTGGAATGAATTGAAAGATGAATGACTTCAGTAGCAATTAGGAGGGACTGAAGCAGAACAAAATAAGATATTTGTCGACCAAAATGAAGCTGTCTCATAATTATAGGCTTGCGATCACAACCACCAATCTGGCAAAAGCAAAATCAAAAGCAAACTTCGATTGCCCATGCAATCACAATTATGGAAACTGAAAAGTCACGCCTAGAACGCTGTGATAACTCTTGAAAATTCACGGGATGCTGTGATCACTAATTCAAATTCTAGTGTTACCAAGTTTACATTCTAGATTACCGATTAGTTCGACCTTACGTGCGGAATTGATTAATTAAAGCAAACACATCACTTTTAATTAGTTTCTAGATGACTAAGCATACAATTTAATTAACCCTATGTTTGAATATCGCAGTTTGTAATAAATTGTTGGAAAGTAAAAAACACAAAATTTAGGGATAACCCAACATGGAAAAATCTCCGGAATTGAGCCAGTTACCTCTATTATAAATAGTTCAGGGAATACACAGCAATTCCAACTCTCATATCCACTAAGACCTGCTGTCACAGTTGCATGATCTACTGCCATAGATACCTCTAGCCTGCTAGACTTTCTGATCTACCTCCTGTAGCCTCCT